ACCCGTGGCTCCACACTTGTCAGGCATCTTTCTGAAAAATCCAAACACTCCCTGTGGCCAGCCCCAAGGTCAAAACCACCTTGCTTGCCCCTCACTTCCTAGGGACCTCCTCCTATCTCTTTTCCCTGTTGAGCAGGGCCTTCTAAGTTCCCCATGTCTTTTGAATCAAGGCTACTTGAGTGTGGCCAGCCTCCTCTGACTTCTTGTTCACCTGGTTTCATTTCTTGCAAGTAGGTTTTAAACCTACCCAGCTATGGCAAGGAACCAGTCATCTATCTAGTCTACTGACCTTGTCCTGCAATCCAGCAATCGTTCTCCTTCAAGTCCGTAGCCACATGAAGTTCTAGAAGTCTAAAGGGAGCTCCAGACCAGACATGTAAGCTGACTTGTGGCCTGTCAGCAGGGGTCCCACTCTTCTCCCAACCCTCCGCATCCCCTCCTCCAATCAACCCTGCAGAAGCCTCCTTTGGAACTGGCCAATCTTGTCTCTGCTGCCTAAACAAGCCTTGCTCATTCTTGCCTCTGTGCTCAGATTCCCAGACCATACTTCCTCCTCAGAGAACCAAGGCCTTCCCCTCCCACCCAGGGAAATCATAGGCCTCCTGCTGGGAATGTTTTGTAACCGAGATCAGTGAAGTCTTCCCTAATCACCAGGCATGCAGAGGTCTTTCACTCCTCTAAATTCCTATGTGTCCCTGTCACTCACCTGGCACTTAATGAGTAGCAGTCGGCTATACCTGTTTATCTTTTCATCTTCTCTCCTCACCTGACAGTCATTTCCTCATACAGAAACCATACAGCACACTTGAAGACACAGACAACACTTGGCAACATAAACAAGGTCTTTGGCAAAATCCTCTCCACAAGAGCAATTCATTTCTTTTCCCAGCTTCTTTCTAGCCCTGATCCCCTGCACGATATGGTTTCTATTCAGCAATAGCCATACCAACAGATTCCTTCTTAGCCACACACCGGAGTTCAAGTTCTGTTCTCCCCATTGCATGTCTGTCTTGGCTGGCCTAGCTTTCAATGCCTACGTCCACTTCTCCACCAAGACCAGGACTTATGGAAGCATGGAAGCGCTGACTCTTCTAGACATCATTTCTTACTTTTGTGTTTTACCTTTAAACACCGCAGAATGCAAACTTTAAACTCACTGGAAGTACCTTCTGAAATAGAGCTATCATACATGCTCAGGAACACCTGAGATAACCCCCTCTGGCTCAACTTCTAGCATAATTTTCTGTTCTATTCCCTAAGCAAAGGTATTTTCCAAACACTTCATAATGTATTTCTTTGCCTGGCTCTTCTTTCATGTGTTTTAAAATTGGCAGCTCCTTGCCTGAAGCTCCCACACAATCTAACACGAGCTGGAAACCTGGCAGGCAGTCAATATTCACTTACCTATTAGCTATTTTTTTAAACTCCCAACTATGTGAAATCTCAAATTCCTGAAAAAGAGAGTATCCCCGATTTAATAATAAAAATTACGCTTAGAAAATGTTCAGAGAGGCCGAGGAGATGGTTTAATGGCTACAAGCACTAGATGAACTCATGGTTCGGTTCCCAGACCCCACATGGCAATTCACAACACCTATAACTCCAGTTCCAGGGAACCCAATACCCTCTTCTGGCCTCTCTGGATACTGTAAGCAAGTGCTGCATATACACACATGCAGGAGGAAAAAACCCATGCACAGAAAACCAAAATAGAGACCTTTCAGATTATTTAGTGATTCAACTGATAAATAAGATATGAAAAGTTCTTCTGTGCAGTATGTGGAAGGATGTAAAGCTTATCTGCTGAGTTGTACAGTCTAAAAGAACTGACAAAGGCTAAGCATGATAGAACAAGATTGTAATCCCAGCACTCAGGAGGTAGAGGCAGAAGGATCAGGGGTTCAAGGACAGCCTCAGCTACCAGCAAGTCTGAGGCCACCCTGAGCCACCTGAGACCCAAAGCAATACAAAAAAAAAAAAAAAAAAAAAAAAGACTTTCCTTTAGCAGTTTAGCTTCCCATGTCAGATGACTAAAAGCTGGAACAGTAAGGTTACACAAACATGTGAGCATAACACCAGAATGGAGATACTAGTATATGCAGGGCCCAGGGTTAAGCCTCCAATATTACCAAAGGAAAAAAGATGAAAAACAGAAGCCAGGAGGAAGAAAGATTAGTTGGTTAGCAGAGAAATATAGGGAATTTTGGGGGTGGTTTTTTGTTTGTTTGTTTTTTTTGGTTGGTTGGTTGTTTGTTTGTTTGTTTTTTAAGGCAGGGTTTCTCTGTGTAGCCCTGGCTGTCCTCGAACTCTCTTTGTAGACCAGGCTAGCCTCAAACTTACAGAGATCCACCTGCCTCTGCCTGCCTCCTGAGTGCTGGGATTAAAGACATGCGCTACCATACGCAGCCTAATTTTTTGCTTTTTTAAATAAAGCAAATTTATTACGTCTGCCACCCAGACTCACCTCAAACTGAGATCCTCCTGCCTCTATCCATTGCTGAAATTACAGACACTGAGACACATACACCTCCTTTCTTTATCTTGACAAATCAGCCATTACAATTCTAGTTATTATTAAGTTAGGGACTACTGCTTGATGTTCAACCAAGTTTCCCAAACCCCTGGACAGCTGAGCAGAAAAGCTGAAGGCCCTAAACACAATCGGCCATTGAGTCACACAAAGAACTGAACCCTACACCAAAGGGTTCTGGAAACTTTCAGACTTCCCTCAAAAGACACCAACGACATCCAAACAACAAAGCCTACGAAGAGAAGTACACCCCAGGGACCAATTCTCAACCTGTCTCCACAGCAATGCTCAGGATGCTTCCTGCACACATGTATGTAAGTCAGGAGCACCCAGGACTACATCCAACTACTTGACAGCCGCATGTAATCACTTAAAACACGACTTTTCCCAGAAGAAGTAATGTCTGAATAGGATCCTTTCCAAACTCAGAAAAAAGGAGCTCAATTTTCTCACTGCCTTTTCATAGGAATTCAAGATGCCAACTTAGAAATCATGGGCTTTAAAATTCCCCCTTTTATATAGTAACCTGCGGATGAAAAAGTTATCGGTGACGAGCACTGGCAAGGCAAGCTCCAGCACATATTAAAAAACAGAAGACAGAGGAAGCAAAGAGACTAGGGGACAGTGTGTCACCAGGCAATGAAGCCAAGCTGTGAACATTCATCTTAAAGTGAGTTCAGCCAGGAGTGTTGGTGCACCTCTGCAATGCACTCAGAAGGCTGAGGCAGGAGGATGACCTCAAGTTCCAGGCCACCCTGGTCTACACAAGGAGACTGCCTCGAAATAAATGAGTGGGGAGATGGCTCAGTGGCTAAAACACAAGTGAGAACCAGGGTTCAGAACCTTAGCACCTGTGTTTAAAAAAAGAAAGAAAGGTCAGGTGCTGACGTTCACCTTTAATCCCAGCACTCGGGATCTGGGCAGAGGCAGGCAGATTTCTGTGAGCTCCATCCAGAACAACCAGGGCTCTGTAAAGAGCCAGTGTCAAAAAAAAAAAAAAAAAGAAGAGCGAGAGGAAGATAATGTATGTTCAATACAAGGAACAGCTAACATGCATTGTACTGCTAAAATCATTCGATGCATGTCTAAAAACTCTAAGCATTATTAACAGCCACTGTCAGAATTACAAGCATAGCAAACAGAGTAAAGAGAGCAGCTTCCTCCCAGTAACAGAAAACAAGAAAGAGTCAGGCTCTAACTATCCGCCAAACCCTGCTGCAGTGGCTGCCTAGCGGCCTCCTTCAGCACTGACATTTCCAAGTGTTTTGCAAAAAGGAAATTTTAAGAATGTGCTGAACCCATCCTTTCCGAATCATACACAGATACATGGACTTTCACTGGACTTTTTGGCTTTTTTGGTTTTCTTAATCACGGTGATCACAATAAGCTTGAAGTGAACTTTAATGAAGATGTCTAAATACTCAAAAACGGAAGCGTTTGAAAACTTTCAGAGTTCTAAGTTACTTTGTTTTGTGAGAATCTGGATGCAAGCACTCAATGAACTGAGAGTTTAAAAAGTTAAGTCTCCGGGGGAAAAACTTGCCTCATAGACTTAACATGGGCAAACTAACGCCAAGAAAACAAGAGAAACCAACTTTCCACAGACCAACCAACGAGAGAAATCTTTGTCAACTGTTTAAGCTGTTTACCTGTATCTATACACCAAAGGACAAGGAGACAGAAAAACTATTTCCTACACGCTTGATTCTGAACACAGCAAAACAAACAAGAAACCTCAGAAAATGATTCCTAAGCTTAAAAACAATTCTAGTGTTAGTCAGTAGTCCAAATCAATTAACTGCAATTTCATACTGAGGTACAACAGCAACCTCAATAACAAGACTTGTTGTCTATGAAGCGTTTTCAAACACATCGCCTCATTTAAAGTACCCTGACCTGTCACCCTCTGGTGAAGCCGCAATGGGGAAAAAAACCAGCCACTCTTTCGGGACTCGGACTGGGCTTCAGTCCTTCCAACTTGGAAAGATGATTTACCCGTCCTGGGTTTATCTACTTTCTCTACCCTCCCTACGGACTTTGGAGCGTGTCTGAAAGATACAATTTCCCAAGAATCTTGGCACCAAGACTATTTATTGTTGAGATGATGACTATCACTTCAAGCAAAAGAAAAAAAGAAGCCTCTCCACAATCACAACCCAGAAGGAACCAAGAAGGCACGTTCTTCCCTTTCCACAAACAGCCACAAGGTGCAGCAGGTTCAAATGATGGAACGTGGAAAACCGAAAAGTGGGGCTGCCCGCCCTAAGAGTTATGTGCACAGGCGGGCTGCGAGGCCAGAGCTGCCCGAGGCCTGGCGAGCGCCGTGACAGCTGGCGGGGCGGAGGGCTGAGGGCCCGACCGCGCCGTCGAAGGCGCACGCGCGGTGAAGGGAGCCCGCCGGGACCCCCCGGGACGCCGAGGTTGTACCACCACAGGCACCTGTCGCCCCCGGCCTGGGACAAGCTCTCACCTCGTCGGTTCATTGGCCGGACCCGCACTGCCACTTTCACTTTGGAGTCGCCCATCGTGCCGCCGCCGGGGTTCTCGTGGCACCTCCGTCTGCTGCGGCCACCGGACAAACTCTTGAGGCCAACCCGGCGGGCGGGGGTTGTGGGGTAAGGGGGCGGGACCAACGAGGGGCGAGGACCGGTGCTCCCCGGGGCACGCCGGGATTTGTAGTTCCCGCAAGACAGGCCAAGGCGCTGGCGGGAAAATTCGCGCGTCGCTCTCTGGAACTTGTAGTCATCTGTCTCCGTTTTTGTAACTGTCCCGCTATTCCTGCACTTTCCTCTTCCTTCCTTTCCTTCTCTTTCTTTCTTTACTTCTTCCTCTTTCTTTTCTTCTTCTTCCTTTTTTTGGGGGGTAGGGAGGGTGTCTGGACATTAAGATTAGGGCTTTATGCTTGTTAGGCAAGCGTTCTACCCTTGAGTTATACTCCCAGTCTTCCTTTTATTATTTTTTGAGATAATAAAAGTAGAGATAGTTTATTAAGAAATAAAAAGCCAGCCGGGCGTGGTGGTGCACGCCTTTAACCCCAGCACTCGGAAAGCAAAAGTAGGCAGATGGCTGTGAGTTCAAGCGCAGCCTGGTCTCTAAGTTCCAGGATAGCCAAGGATACCCAGAGAAACAGCGTCTGGAAAAACCAAAAGAAAAAAAAAGAAAGGGAAAGGCACTTCAGAGTGTGTGTCTGTATGATGGCCCACCCTTGTAATCCCAGCACTCAGGAAGGCAAAGGCAGGTGGATCTCTGTGAGTTTGAGCCCAGCCTGCTCTACAGAGCGACTCCAGTACAGCCAAGGCTACACAGGGAAACCCTGTCTGGAAAAAAAAAAAAAAAAAAGACAACTTTCAGAAGTCAGTTCTCTCCTTCTACCATCTGGGTCCTAGGGATGGAATTCCGGTCATCAGCTTATCAACCAGGGCCTTTACCCACTGAACCATCTCTCTGGCCATGTTTGGGTTTTTGTTATAGTTGTTTATTTGGTAGATGCATGTTTTTTGTTGTTGTTGTTGTTGTTTTATTTTGTGTGCACGGATGTTTGCCTGAATGTATGTCTGTGACCATGTGCATGTAAGTGCCAACCAAGCTCAGAAGAGGGTATCAGATCCCCTGGAACTGGAGTTACAGGCAGTCATGAGCTGACACATAGGTCCCAGGTCATTAAAGCAACCAGTGTGGTTAATCACTGAACCATCTCTCCAGCCCCTATACTTGGGGTTTTGATACTGGTCCACACAGAGTTGCTCAAATTGATCTTGAGTTTGCAGTCTTCCTGTCTCACCCTCTCAGGTAGTTGGAATAATGGGCCTGAGGTCCTGGACCTGCCTCTGTCTCTAGCCCTGGCTTTCCTATAAACTCACTTGGTAGACCAGGCTGGTCTCCAACTCAGAGATTCACCTACCTTTACCTTCAAAGTGATGAAGCTAAAGATTTGCACCTCACCATCCCTGGCTTCTGTACTACTTTTAACTATCACAATTTGTATTGAGACTAAGCTATCCAAGAGCTGACCCTTCATCTGAAAACCCCTTCATCTCATTTTTAAAACCTCAGGGTTTGATCCTTGGTTTTAATGATTTTCCCTGACTGACTCACCCCCTCAGTTTGTTTGCTGACTCATCCTTTAAGCTAAGTGGATGCATTCAAAAAGGACTACTACTAGCTTTGAATCCTTTGGCTCATAACTCAAATCCCACTTATTTACCAACCTGTGGTCATGGTCAAGTTATTTGGTGGCTCAAATTTTATCATTTTATGTGTAAAATGAAGAGAAAGGGCAAATTTCAAAACCTGTGTCACCTAGCCTGCAGTAAACCCTCCCACCCAGGGACATTTATTGTGTGAGTCAATGAAACCAAAGTGAAAATACTGTTTATCATCCTAGCAAAGGGCTGCTAGTTTGTGGTTTGTGCTCCAAGTCTGTCCTGCAAATATCTTCTATTTATCCAGGACAAAAGTCAGATTTTGTATGTATTAAAGGCCCTTATTACATGTTAGGAGTAGCAGGTCAGAACTGAATAGCCCTGGACATGCTGTAATCCCAACATTCAGCAAACTGGAGCAGGAAAAGTGTCATAGTTTGAGACCAGTTCAGGCTACAAACTTCTTCCTTAGCCTCCCAACTACTGGGATTACAGGTGTGAGCTACAATGCCCAGTTCCAATCTATCATCTTAAACAGGGGCAGTGAGGTAAGAAAAAAGAAGGCTATGCAGTTGCAACTGGAAATTATATTTACATGGAAATTCAAAACAAGACCTCCTAAGGAACTGTGGGCAAGTCTCACTTTGGAGTCAGGGTCTCTTTTGACTCCTCAGTGAAGATGCAGAAAGGATTCTTAAAGCCTGCAAGTCACCCAGTGAAAAGTGAGAGAAGAAAGACAGGTAGCTGCTCTGGGGTGCTGGGGTGCAGCGGGTTGCCAAGAGGAGAGAAAGTCCTGGTTTCTGTCTAGTCACCTTTGAGGGTAGTGGGAAAAGAGCAAGAAAGAAAAGCACTCTCCTGTGTCTTTATTTTGTAAATCTACAACCTTGTATCGTGTAGGTGTTCTTCAGAGGTTCAAAATAGATGTGAGATATTATCGGTTAACTGGATCTAGGAGAGCCTCCTTTTCCTTTCTTGTGGTTTGCAAACCTATCCATTCTGAAACTGATCTCCTGCTTTCTTTTTGTTCCATTGATTTGGCAGTTTCTGATGCTAAGGAACCTTCCTTGCCCTTTCCGTTTTGTTTTGTTTTGTTTTTGAGACAGGGTCTCACAATGTAGCTCTGGCTGTCCTGGAACTCACAGTGTAGACCAGGCTGGCTTTGAACCCACAGTGATCTGCCTACCTTTGCCTCCCAAGTACTAGGATTAAAGGGGTGCACCACGATGCCTAGCTCCCTATATGTTTCATTATGGTCATCTTTGACCTGATAATGGTACCTAGTGGAATACTCATGCCAGACACCACCCTAAGCCCTTTACATCTCTGAGCCTGTTTAATCTTCACATAGACTGCATGGAGCAGTTAATGTTATTATCTCTACACTGAGGATGTAAAGCAGGGTGAAGCCATGCTGCCAGCATCTTCCCTCTCTACTCTGCAACCTCTCTCAAAAGCAGAAACAAAAGTCTGCATACAAACTGTTGGGTCCTAAACAGCTCTAGTTCTTCAGAACAGGAATTCCACTTACTTTTTTTTTTTTTTTAATTCATCAAGAGTCATCCTGAAGAGCCACCTGTTCCTTCGTTCTTTCAAGAATCAGAGCTCTATGAGTTCAACGCCAGCCTGGTCTACATAGCAAGACCCTGTGAAGAATCACAGCTCTCCTGTGAAAATTCCCAAGGCAATTGTACCCATAGTATGACTGTCTCTCTCTAGTTACCTTCTCCACTCCAGTCTTCAGGTTCTCTTTCACTTTCACTCCACTCCATAGCAGTGAGGTTCTGCTAGCTGACCACTGTGCAACCCATTTGACAGCTCCTGCATCCTTCCTGACAGCTTCAGATCTCACGAGGAAAAGCAAGAACAGACAATAACAACTCAATCTCCTATTATTTTATGTAGAATTTCATGCATACATATAAATGCATAACACAAATACATAAGTATATAAATTCATAACTACAAAGAATTAACATCATACCCATCCCTCCCCCTCCAGCTCTTCTCATGCCTATCACATCACATACATATCAATGCGTATGTATGTGTATATGTGTGTGCATATGTGTGTGTATGTTGTAGGGTTGTCTGTATATACTTGGGTGTGAGGTTGACTTGGACAAATGCAGTGGTTTAAATGAAAATGTCCCCATAGGCTCATTTGTTTGCACACTTTGTGCCCAGCTGCTGGTGCTGTTTGGGGAGGTTTTTGAGATGTGCTCTTGTTGAAGGAAGTGTGTCACTGGAGGCAGGGTTTTTAAACTCATATCATTTTCCAATTTGTTCTCTCTGCTTCATGCATACAGTTCAAAATGTAAGCGGTTAGCTTCCTGCTCCAGATGTGGTCAAGTGCAGTAACCATACCGTTGAGAGTTCATGTCCAGAAGATACTATCTCACAGACGTCCTCCTTATCTTCTGCCTCTTACAGTATTTTTGCCTCCACTTCTGAACCCCTTGGGTGTAGATGTTGTGTTCCAGAAGTCCATGGGCACTTCACAGTCTCTTGTTCTCTGTGCTTCGACAAGCTGCGGTTCTCTGGAATAGCCTCCGTCTGCTACAAAAAGAAATTTCTCTGATGAGAGGCAAGATCTGCACTTATCTACGGGTATAAGGATAAATATTTAAAAGACAGTTTATATGTATATCAATTTAGCAAAATGGTAGCATAGGTTCTCCCCTAGGGTCTGTGACCTCTCCAGTTCTTGGCTAGTTTTGCAGTGTCATATCCTAGTTTCCTCCTACTGAGTAGGCCTTAAGTCTAATCCTACAGCTCTTGGTTACCCTCAAGATGTTAGTGTCATCATTGCCCAGCCTTGTTGTTGTAATTGGCAGTATTCACATTTGGGTAGGAATGCTGATAACTATCCTTCAGCCATGGAATTTTGCACAGCATCTTTCAACATTTTAAGAGTAGTCAGTACCGATTTGATTTCTACAAGTCCAGTGACCAAAGAATAATTCTTGACTGAAAATCAAAGGGCCATTTCCTTTAGCCATGAGTCTGCATCTCTCAGCCTCCTGCACAACCAAGCCACCCAAATAATAGTCTACAGTGTCTTCCCTTCGTCACCTGTCATTAGTCAACCAACTATTAATTTAATCATGCTTTCGCCTGTCTTCAACCTGACAATAAAACCATCATGGTAACATGTACAATTGACCTTCTCATTACAAATCTAATAAGGTAGCCTTTGGTCCTTATTTTTCCTGACTTGTCTGTCAAACCTGGTGTTGACTGTTCCCTTCTGGAAGTCCCGGATTCCAGAATCACTCTCTCTGTTCCCCTACTCTTACTTATGTATTAGTCCAGTCAACAAACAGCACTAGGCTCATCTTCTTTTAGGTGTGTAGAATACAAAGTTTAAAGGGAGACAAGGTGGCAGGAGATGGAGCTCAGTCGGTAGAGTGCTTCCCTGGCATTGGTGAGGTCCTGGCTTTGATCC